ACCTAGACACAGGAGAACTATTGTCGTGAAAGTGTTGTACAATCGATTACGAATTTAGATTGCAGAGAGTTTGTTCTGAGCGCTAAAGGCACTCACGATAGAGCACATTTTGCTTTATTCTAACAGTGCTCAAGTATACTAGACAACAACGCGAGGACAAGTGCACTGGTCTATTGGTTTCAGGCTTCAAATAGTACATTTGAAGTGATCGTGATTACATGCTTGGTTTTTTGATGCCCACCCACCCACCCACCCGGATTGGACGCCAGGCAAGACCGGATGGATTAGGAACCCATCACGTCTACTGGCTGGTTTTGGTATGGTCACGTCCCGGATGTTCGGTGGAGAATTCTTTGGATGCTTAACAAGCATGGAGATATTCCTCTCAAAGCATCATATGACAGAGAATTGCCGCCCTCTCCGGTCCCGGACCAAATATGCTGATACCAGTAAGGCAGAGCAAAATCTGGCTCTGTCTGGCTTTATCTATTAAAGGATTAAAGTTGCAGGTATGGTGGTCGATTACTCGGATGGATTCAGCATCGACCCCACATACATTGGTACCTGAATGTTATTCCTATTCAGTGTGCCCTTAGGTCTATAGTTGTTAAATGGAGTAAGTTTGATCGAATGTCGCCCCAACATCTAACTGGTTTGTCTCTGTTATTATGCCGGAGCTACACAAAAATGTATACTAAATAAATAGCTTACTTTCTGACACCCGAACACCAAACCCCACCGTACATCTCAGTTTTCATGTGCACACACGAGCAAAGCTGCCCGGGGAAAAGAAGACGGGCCACTTTGCAGATAATCCGTATTGGTACTGTAGCTTCTTGGCAGGTTGTATTTAGATGAAAGTACTTCGATAGGTCCAAATATGGAAACACAGCCCCGAGATACTGGAACGCACCACAACGTGCAACGCACGCAATTTAAAAATGTCCGTTAATAGTTTAAAATGGTTTTATTGGAAAACGTTAAGTGTCCGTTTCCATTTTAGCGCGGGCGCACTGTGGAAATCGGGCATGCCCCGTGCGTCAATTTGACGCAAAAACGGGCACGCCCCGCGTCAAATTAACGCAAATCTGCGTCAAATTGACGCAAATCTGCGTCAAATTGACGCAAATGTTTGCGTCAAATTGACGCGCGACGCACGAAACTGCGTCAAATTGAAAATTGTACCGCAAGTGTATGCTTATCATAGTTATGGATCCAAATACCTTGCAATGATTGGAACTTTTTCATCTTGCAAAAGACACATACTACCTCGTTTTTTGGTGTTCAACAAGAATGCTGGATGCAATAAGTCCCTAAACAATTGAGACAAGGAGAGCAGAAAGATCCTGAAAGGAATAGGAGACATTGCCAGATCCCTGGCCAAGTATGCCTATGGAAGAAAGGTCAGTTCCAATATTGCCAACAAATCCATTCTCAAATATGTTTTCTACAAGATTTTTGAGCAGTACTATATCTGGGGGATTCCGTTGATGAGCAAGACAGGGATATCTGTTGATAAGGTTGTTGCTTCTTGCTTGGAAAATAGCATCATTGCCATTATGTGTCCCAGCTTTGTCAATTTCCATCAGATCCATTGTTCAAAAAATGGGCAACTCTCATTGGAATGAGAGTGGGAACTCAAACTCTCATTCATTCACACACTCCAATCTTTTTGGAACTGATACCAGTACGCGGGTTTTGTCCCGCGTCGAAGACACGCAGGCCCGCGTTAAATTGACGCAACCCGCGACTCTGCGTCAAACTCACGCAACTCTGCGTCAAACTGACGCAACTCCGCGTCAAACTAACGCAACTCCGCGTCAAACCAACGCAACTCCGCGTCAAACTAACTAATCGAAGATTACCCGGCGCCGCCTCCACTCCTGGGCTTGAATCGCATGATGCAGTCTTTGTCTGGAGAGATCGCGCACGTATGCTACCATGGAAACTGTGGCAAAAGCCCGATGCTACATACGAGAAGCGAGTAGGTTTGGCACAGTAGCGAGGTACTAGGTTAGTGACTGGTTTGCACCGAGGTTGAATCATAGGATTCGAAAAGGACAATCAATAGGATTGACAGACAAACCCGGACCAAATGGGGTACCGAGCTATGGTGCAAATGAGAGAGAGGGTGGTGAGGGCGGGAAAAGCAAAAAAGAGCTGACGGTCTTGACCGAGCAGCTAAACTCCTTCTATCGCCTCCATCATCCCACAAGCTCCCATTGCGAACAATGTCTTCTCCAAATCATTCCGTCCTCTTCGTCGACACTCTTCGCTCCGTCCGCCAACCGTGTACTTCACTGAAGCGACGCGCCGTAATCGACACGACGGAAATTGAGACTAAGGAAGAGCTAGAAACGCCCATACGTCTCCCGTCTTGCCGATCTATAATCGAAGATTACCCGGCGCCGCCTCCACTCCTGGGCTTGAATCGCATGATGTAGTCTTTGTCTGGAGAGATCGCGCACGTATGCTACCATGGAAACTGTGGCAAAAGCCCGATGCTACATACGAGAAGCGAGTAGGTTTGGCACAGTAGCGAGGTACTAGGTTAGTGACTGGTTTGCACCGAGGTTGAATCATAGGATTCGAAAAGGACAATCAATAGGATTGACAGACAAACCCGGACCAAATGGGGTACCGAGCTATGGTGCAAATGAGAGAGAGGGTGGTGAGGGCGGGAAAAGCAAAAAAGAGCTGACGGTCTTGACCGAGCAGCTAAACTCCTTCTATCGCCTCCATCATCCCACAAGCTCCCATTGCGAACAATGTCTTCTCCAAATCTTCCGTCCTCTTCGTCGACACTCTTCGCTCCGTCCGCCAACCGTGTACTTCACTGAAGCGACGCGCCGTAATCGACACGACGGAAATTGAGACTAAGGAAGAGCTAGAAACGCCCATACGTCTCCCGTCTTGCCGATCTAGCAACTCGCGTCATTCCCGCGTCAAAAGAAACGTCCCGCGTCAAAGTCGCAGAGCATTTTAACGGACACATAAAAATTATTTAGAGCTAAAAAAAAACCTCAAAACAATCTAAACGGACAGATTTCGGGCGTGCGTTTGACGTTGTGGTGCGTCCCTGCAGAATTACCTCACTCTTGTGTCACAGCAGCGAAACAGACCAACTCAGTTCTGTGTGCCTGTGTTATTAATAATACTCGTATGCTGCAAGTAGGGCGCAAACATGTCTACCAAAGCAGGAAGTGAAGACTTTAGCGATGAAGCTGCAACGATAGAAAACTTTGAAAGTTCGGTTGTGGCCAAGGACGGGAGTACCGAATCCTCTGCGGATCTTGTCACCACAGATAAATCTCAAATGTCAAAAGTCCCACAGAATCACTACGAACCAAGCTCTGCCGGATCTGTGATCGAAGCAGAGGACGGCTTTGGTGGGACACTTTTGATAAGAATTCAGAATATTGCATCAACAACAAATTTCGGTTGTCGACTGGACCTAAAGAAGATCGCGTTGAAATGGTAAGCATGACGATGGATCAGAAGTAGAAAACGAGCATCATCGTGAACTCACAAACGACGCGAATCTTCTCCTTCTTTCTCTTGTTGTTGGGGCTCTCGCTGTCGTCTTCGTCCTTTTCTTCTTTCTCCTTCCCTGTCTTCTTCACACAAATCAACAACAACAACGAATGATAGCAGGTAAGTCGTTCTTGCCTTCATCAAATCGTGTTTGCTTTGCAATTTGCACACGATTGGTTTCCGGATATATGAGAAATTGAAAACAAGCATCACCGTGAACTCACAAACGACGCAAATCTCCCCTTTCTCTTTTTGTTGGGGCTCTATATGCTATCCCTATCCGCAAGAAACACCGAGTTTTCCCCTAGAAGGTTTGGTGGCTGCATCATGAGGCTAAGAGAGCCCAGGGCGACAGCTCTTGTATTTTCCAGGTAATAGAAATGAAGTGGTGTTGATATTGATATTGACATTGAATTGAGGCAAGCTCACATAAAATATTTTCCTATGTTCTATCGTAGTGGGAAGCTTTGCGTAACTGGTCTTCGATCTCTGCACAATGTCCATTTGGCCTGTAAGAAGTTTCATTACATCATCGAACGCGTTGGATTCCAGCCCACACCAAATTGTGAGATGAAAGTGCAAAATATTGTAGGTACGTTATCAAGAACATCTTTTGAGGCTTCATGAGGAATCAGTTCTGACCTGACAACATGTAAAAAACTGTTTTCAATTGCCGCTGATCTTTGCAATAGGTACTGTTGATGTGGGCTTTCCAATTAGATTGGAGGGTTTAGTGTACGCGCACTCAGCATTTGCTAGCTACGAACCGGAGCTATTCCCAGGCTTGATATACCGTCTGCTCAATCCAAGGGTAGTCTTTCTTATTTTCGTATCTGGGAAGCTTGTCATCACCGGTGCAAAGAAGGAGTCCGACCTTTCAGTTGCGCTCACAAAGTTGTTCCCTGTTTTGGTTGAGTTCAAAAAAGAACATGTGGCAAGCTTCAATGCAAATGAATCAACTGGTCAACCTCCGATCTCAGGCACTATTTCGTCACAGAAAATGGAAGTCTGAGAATGTTGCTGTATCCATGGGAACTACTATTTTTGAATAAGCAAAGCCGGCTTTTCGACCCGGTAAGAGCGACCCAAATGTTGCCGGCCAGTCACACGCCTGCCAACCATCCAGCCTCATCCATCGATCAGGACAAAAAAGCCAACGTCATTGGTAATAGACCGGGCTTGCTCTCCTTCAGAAAAACATTTCAGCGACAAGACATAAAAAAACATCACATCAACATGACAAGTGGCATTCCTATCCGGTTGCTTGCAGCATAGCACAGTTGCACAATCGAACCATCTCCCCTTTCCTTTACTAGCCCGTAGCAACGTTACCAAAGTCCTCAGAGACCGTTTCCTCCATCAACTTCCGCACATTCCAGCTTTTTACACATCTGTTTCTCATCTTCCATTGCGCGGAGTGACAGGCAGTGTGTAGCTACGAAAGTTTTTTTGTGTTGTGTCTTGTCCTCGCCTCTAGTAGGTTGGAGACTTGGTGCGGTGAAGTATTATGATGCCAGGATCGTCTACAGGTCGAAATCGCACTGCTGGCAAGGTTGGAAGGAAGAAGAAGGCTGATAGTGACTATTTCAACTTTAAATACTGCTACACAAGTTGTCACTCGATCCATTGCAGCAGCATCCACTGCAAAGCGCGCTACCACATCAACAGACAGTGACTCAGGCACCAAGGCTCAACAGAAACAGAAATAGAAAGCCTTGGCCATCGCCCAATCAGAGGTCCCTTTGACATCATTAGAAGATAGTGTCAATGATGAAGGAAAAAAGTGACCGCACCATCAACAAACACCAGTCCACCGTCACCTGAGGACAGTGCAGTTCCGCCAGCATTAGAAGATAGTGATGATCACAATGATGGCAAGGCGATTGCCCCACCAGAAGACACCAGTCCAACAGCACAAGTGGACAACAATGCCCCAGTTCCGACCCAATCAGAAGATGATGATAAAGGGAAAAAAGTGAAAGCCCTACAATGTCCCTTACCAGAACACAGTAGTGAGCCATCAGTAGATATCAATGCTCTCGCTCTGTCAGCATCAAAAGAGGTGGTGAGACAAGAATTGACAGACTGGTCCAGCTCCTTGATCCTTTGGTTGGCTTGTCTCAAATCCTCAGCATTTGACTTCAAGCCCAACGCCTTTTCATACCCTGCAATGGCTGCTTCACTTTTGTGCAAAGGAGCTTCAATCCCTTCGTTCTTGGGGTCCTTGATGCCCTGTTTGTTTGCTAATTGTCTTATTAGTCTCGTATTCTTCATGCATGGCCATGACAATTTCACGCTTTGCAAGTTTAACCGTTTTGCTATGTTCTTGTTCCAAAGCTTTGTATTTGCTCTTTTCACTCAGCAGGGCTTCTTCTTTCTCTTCAAGCAGTTTTGAAACAGGATTGACCTTCTTCTCCAAGGCGTCACTTTCTTCCTTCAGCTTCGCAATCTCAGAATGGAGATCCCAAATGCATGCGCCCTTGAGCAAGATCCTTCTTGATCTCCTGCATGGCCCAGCCTTTTTCCTCCTCAGATGGGCATGGACTTTCAAGGCTTTGACCAGGGTCCGTTGATCTTCCCTTTATCATCATTTTAGCAGCCTCCTCAAGTGTACACACTTTCTTAGTTTAGTTCTTGACTTAGGAGATCAATGTGAGTCGCAAGATGAAGGAGGGCAGAGAAGGTGAGGCAGGAATTGGGCCTTGGTACTGCAGGAGCTGGTGCTAAAATGGACAAAACAGAGACAGCAAAAAAGGCAAGGAGAAAAGCTGGTCTTGGTGATGAA